TTAACTTTTCTAGTAGTCACATTAAAAAGTTAAAAAAAGAGATGGATGAAACTGGTCTTAATGTAGTTTATCTAACCCAATATATTTAGAATATTATAATTTTAACATATAAGGAATATAAAAAATGATTGATGAGAGATTTTACATTCCTTTCGTTAAAACCAAATCTTCAAAATCCAATGTGTGTTTTACATTTGCAGCACAAATTTCAAATGCTCAAGAGCCACCTGTGGCTAGTGGCTGCCATACTGGCAGTGTGAGTTATGGCTAAGTCCTGTGAGGTATCAGATTGTGTGTCTCCTTTGCCCAGTCCAGCACCCAAGATATGTCTACATTTCACATGAGCCTCAGTAAAAGGAATGATGGGGCTGGTTGTTGCTGATCCTATGCTGTCATGATGATACTCACCTTTACTTCACTCTGCAAGGCAGAACAACAATTATTTTTTTTGAGTTGGAGTCTTACTCTGTCACCCAGACTGGAGTGTAGTGGCCACTCCCGGCCACCACAGCCTCGACCTGCTGGGCTCTGGCGATCTTTCCACCTCAGCCTTCCGAGTAGCTGGAACTACCACACCCGGCTACCACACCCGGCTCATTTTTTGATTTATTGTAGAGATGAGGTCTCGCAAAGTTGCCCAGGTGGGTCTCGAACCCACGGGCTCAGGCACAGAACAATTTAAAGAGGAGCCAACCTACATCCTAACTAGCCAGACAAGACCAGTCCATCTCAGCTCCCAGTCTGAAGCACAGCTGAGCTGCCCATCTCTTCACCTCCAAATAGAAGAGATTTGCATGCAGAACCACTAATTACATGACCATGGGCCCGGATTGCTACCTCAGGCCCCAAACATGATAGTAGATGCTTCTGAATAGTAAAAAGAAAAGGGTTCATACCCACAATCCAGCTGCAAAGTCATTTAACACAAGAAACAAGTGTAGCAGCAAGGTCTAGGAAAGGATTTTCAAGAGAAAGTAAATGTCCTTTGAGACCTATTTTCAGAATAATCTTTTGGGAATAAGCAAGCAAAGATTGGGATTTTTCTTTTGACCTGAGAGCAATTATGGTGTGACTTTAGGCCAGTCATTTCACTCTCATGCCCAATAGGACCTTCCTCCATGTTGGAATGTGGACACCGAAGCAACCAAGGACTTACATCATGTCAAGACCAATGAATAGGGGGTTGTGTTCCCATGTGTCTCCAACATGTAAAGAACAATGAATAGAGGACTATGCTTTGCCTTGACCTTTCCTCTGCGAGAGATACCACTGCTGGAGCAAACATGTGTGGCTGGCTGGTCCCAGCTGTCTCCTGGTGGACCCTTCCTTGGTGATGCCCAGGCTGGCAGGAAGCCTCTCCCCTCTCCTGCTCAGCTGAGCAAGCACAGGGCCCTGTGGTACAGCTGCGGGCAACACCACACCGCCCCTCCCGCCCCTGCTTTTTCGTGGTCTCCTCCTTTGTGACTGCTACAGCATATGTTTTATTAAAAGGGAAAGAGAAGGGGAGACAAGAGGTTATGTACATGGCATGCTCAAGAATCTTAAGATTGAAAATCTCCTGCTCAATGCTAAATGCCTAAGGGCTTTGGCATTTTGCCGACTCTAAGTAAACCCCAGGAGGAACATTTGGGTGGGGAAATAGGAAATGGAGAAAAATCAAGACTCTTAGGAAATTCTGATTCTAAAATATGAGAAGATATTCTCATGTTCTCTTGAAATTTGCATTCATTCCCCCAACATCCTCATTCATATTTTTGGATGTGATGTTGATAAGCTCTTTGACCTTGAGTGATATTTTTCCCATAGTATATAGATTAGACTTGAGGGTATGTGGAAAGCCAGGTAATTTTCAATGCCTAATGAGATGCCTAACATTTCAGAGCCCTCTGCCTAGGTCCTAGGGCAACTTCCTCTAGGAATATATGTTTAAGATGATTAAACTAGGTTTATGGTATTTCCAGGATGCAATGAGAGAAGTGGCCTGGAGGGAGGGGGTAAACCTCAAGGAATCATGCAAACCCTGAAATTTCCAGCCTTCTGACTGAGCTACAGTTAACATTTCTATCAGCTTGAACCCCCTTTCCCACTCTTTCTATCCAACAAATCCCTCCCCCAGCCTTCATGGTTCAACACAAATTCTCCCTCCTGTGAATACTGAAAGCTCCTCTTATCTGTGCAAATCAATTGCAGATTAATTAGGTCAGCTTTGTGACTTCTCTTGTATTGAACTGCTGTTTAGAACTTACATTGTCATTTCTCTTTTCCCAGATGTAAGCCTAGTTTCCTAACTAGACTGTAAGCTCATTGAGGGCAAAGAAAAAGCCTTATAGGACCTTTATCCTTCACAGTCCTCAGTTTAGTGCCAGAGGAAAGGCCCTGTATTACTGTAACCTTCCCATCCATGTACATTACAGAAACAACTAAATCAGGTAATAATTAGTAAGAATAAGTCATTCCTTGGAAGAAGCCTGTGGAGTCTGGGGTTGGTTCAGGAGCAGTGAGACCCAGGTCTCATTCCACAGTTTCCCTTAAATGCTGTATGACTCCATGCAAATCAGTTCCTCTCTCTCAGGTTCTCTGCCCTCCCTTTTCCAAGAAAGCTGAAATCATTCTAGCTCTACTTCTTGGGGTAATCAAAGATAAATGAGACAATAAGTCATGTGAGGATTAATTAGATGAGCTCTGGAAAGTGCTCCCAGCTCTTTGGAAGAGGATGCCATTATAAAATGTATACAAGGTCTTATTATTTAAGGGAAAGAGTTGAATCACCAAAAATACACTGCGCATTGGGGGAAAACAAAACACTAACCGGGAAACCTCAGCACTAAGCATCTCAGTCAGCAGAAAGTGCCCACGCAGATGTCTCAAGTCCCTCTAGATTACCTCTTGTTTGTGAGCTGGGGAGGGATTTTGGAGCAACATCTCAGAGGAGGGTATCTTTTTTATGCGATGTTCCCTGGTGGCCAGCCTATGTCTTGGGAAAGGGGATCAGGAGGAGTTGATGACGCAGGGATGTTCTTTGCCCTTTGGCCTTGCTCAGTAAACAACCTGCCAGGCAGCCAGAAAGGAGCACCCAGAAGATGACTTTGAGAAGAGAAGATGCTCCCCATCTTTGAAACCAGCCCAGTGTCAGCAGAGCAGGAACCTTCCTTCCTCCCCAGTCCTTTCCTCCTCACCTCCTTTCGTGTGCCCACACTGCAGCACACACATCATTCCATCCTGGGAGACAAAGCCAGCTCCGTTTTTGGTGAGGAGTGGGAGATAGGAGCCAAGGATGCCTCCGTCTTCTCTGTGGCTGCAGCCCAACTGTGGAACCCTTGGAAACCAGCTACCCATCAGCAGAAAAGACTGACATTTGCTTCCTTCCCCTCAAACAGTTCACAGTATACACACTCTGCCCCTTTTCAAATTACAGCCCACCTCAAAGAAGCAAGATATGCCCCTTTCCCCAGAGTAGGCAACAGCTATAGTATCAGACAGGATCATTGTGGCAGCAGTGCTTGGTCATGCCCTCAGTGCTGCAAAGCAACTTATTCTTGGTGAGGGGGGACTCCACAAGGCTGTGCCTTAAACAAATAACACACACACAACCGTGTGAAGTCAGGAAGGAAAGCACACAAACTCCAGCATCACTTTGCTGCTGCCTGATGTCCTCAGACTGCCCCCCAGGGGATTTGGTAAAACACTTTAGTTGCCTGGTTAATACTAACATTTCATGTATTTGAGAGAGCACGGTCAGAGAGAGAGTCACTTCGACATGCACATGTCTAGTGAAATGTAGAGGCAGGAACACTCGACTTCCAATACGTCTTTTATCCTTCTGATTGGTCTGTGCAGACATGTCACTGTCCCTGCTGGATAAGGCCCAGATTGCCCAGCTATAAGCCTGGCATTTTATAATTGTTATTCTGTTAACAAAACATTTGTTTCTGCTCATGGCACCCTGCTCTCAGGGCAAGGAAGAGCACACACACGGTTCTTTACAGAGGGGTCTGTTCCATCCCGTTACAGTGCATTAGCTTGAATATTAGTTAATATTTGGCTTAGGTCTATATACCCTGGATAAATATGTACCATGCAGAGGGACTGCTGGGCAAGGAGGAAACTCCTCTGGGCTAGAACAGCAGCTCACAAGTTCATGCTTTCACTAGGTAGGCACTCTCCGGGCATCTGTGGCCTGACCAGAGTGCTGGACACGCTTGGTCCTTCTGTGTGGGCAGCCTGCTTCCTGCGTACAGCTGTGAGCCCACACGCATGAACACACACACACACACACACACACACACCACATACACCCCGCAGGCAGCATTTGACTGTGTACCCAGATGACCACAGAAACAGGGAGAGAGATGGGCTAGATGACACCAGCACACCCCTCCTCTCAGCACAGCAATGATCTTCCCTAGCATCTCCAGTGCTCTGCCAGGCTGAACTCAATCAATGGGCTTCTGCCACCACCCTGGGGAGACTATTTGCAACCCACAGGCTTCACTCTTTGGAATTTTATTTTCCTGGCTGCCTGTGCATAGGAAACATGCCACAGGGCTCTATGAACATGTGAATATAGATGCCTCTTGCATCACGACCTCGGCTCTTCCAGGGTCTTTCCCAAACCTAGTGAACCTCCCAGCATCGGCTGGGCAGGCAGAAGTCCTCATCATCTTCTGCAATTATGCAGCCCTATTGAATTTTCTGAAGCTAATGGGAGTTGCACTAACTTTAAGGACTTAAACCAGGCAAAAGCAATATAGGTCAGGCAGAGTGCCCGAGCCCTGTGATACCAAGCAACACCAGGATGCAATACTAGAGCGATCTCAAGCTAAACCCCAAAGTCCACAGCTGGGCAAGAGAGGCGGACGGCATCCTTCCCTTCGCCTGCAAGTGCCAGGCGGCGGGGCAGGAGGGATGAATGAGAGCAAAGCTATCCCCTCCCCGACAGACACACCAAAAGGACAATGAGAAGGGGCGACGGAAAAATTCCCGAAACCCTGCACTGTTACCTTGAATCCGTGCAGGAGCCCTCCGGCTGTATCAGCTGCTTCCCAAACCTTCAACGACTGGGAGGAGACTCCTAAAAGATTCCAGGTTTTTGTACAACATCTCCAGTGGCAGCCTTCCAAAGTTTTTACTTCATGATTTCTTGTGGCTCTTTCTCATTTGGGGAAACGCGAATGCCCCCCCCACCCCCACCTCAGCGGGCGAGAGGGAGAGGATGTCTCTTTTCAAAATCTCCTGCTCCCCGCCTTGCTGGTGCCGCCGCCGCCGCCGTTAGACCGCTGGCCCGCCGCCTCCCCGCCGAGCAGCCGGGCTCCGGGTCACCCGGAGCATCTCCGAAGTGGGGATTCGGCGCCGGACCCGGGCGCGCTGGGGGTGGGAGAGGTCAGGAAAGTGCAGAACGCCGCCTGGGGAGTCCCCGGTGCCTCCGCCTAGGAGAGACCCGAGACCCGGCTTTCTTTGCAACTCTGGAGAGACTCACCCGCCCTCTCTGTCCCCTGAGATCACTGCCTTGCACATGGGCAGAGGCAGTTCCTCCGGCTTCCCCGCTGCCCAAGCTGCCCGCAGCCCAGCCCCTGCCCTCGGAGCGCGCGGCAGGTGCACATTCCCCGGGCAAGTCCTAACGGGGTACTCCGGGCTCGGCGGAGGCGCGGCTCGCCGGGTAGGCGGGTCGCATCCCAGAGCTGCAGCCCCGCGCGTCCCTGCTGCCACTCTGAGCTCGTACCTAAGCAGTGTCACCTGCAGACTCAGACACCAGATGAGTGTCTTAAGATAACAATGCTGCCCTGCCTGCCTCTCTCTTTCTTTCTTATGCACGTAGGTTGGCAGCCAATAGGACGCGGCGCCACACTCCCCTCGGGTGCCCATTGGCTGGGCCGTCCGGCAGGGGGCGGGCTCTGCGCCTCCCCTCTCTCGCTTTGGCTGGCGGGCAGGCTGGGGTGCCAGCTCGGTTAACCCTCCCGGCTTTGCAGCAGGGACTTTATGGTGTGGAGAGGAAGCCTTGGAAAAAATTCACGGCTGGCTGGGGCGTTGGAGAACCTAAGAAGGCTGAGGAACAAGAAGTAGCTGGAGAGCTAATTACATTTTCTTCTAATCTTTCCGAGTTACACTAATCGTTTGTCCCAGCCCATTTTGTTTGCTTCCTTAACTAAAAACTCACAGAGATTGGGACCCATTCGAGCCATTTTCCATCTAATTTAAGGTTTCATTCTGTTGTTTTGTGCATTTTAGCCTCTTGAATTTCTTAATTAGAAATAAGCCCCCAAGTGAGAAGTACTTGGCGCGCGCGCGCGCGCACACACACACACACACACACACACACACACACACACACACACACCAGACATACAGAGGAGAGAGGGCAGAGAGAGGCAAAAAGATAGCACCAGTAAGATGGGTAGAGAGAGAGGCGGATTTAAAGATGCTGGACAGCTACATCAAGAAATATTTTGCACCCCCACCAGGACTGTGAAGACAAGGCAAAGAGGAGAACTTCCGGTTTATGGAGAGATTAAGTTAAAACAAAACAAAACAAACAAAAAACCCTGCTTCCAAAAAAGGGAATTGTTGTGCCTGTGGTGTTTTCCTCCTGTGTATCTCTTTTCACTTCAGTGTGTGTCAGGAAGAGGGACTGTGCCTCTCCATTTGGTTTTAAAGGACCAGAGAAATCAGAACAGGACCAGCCTTGTTTTTGTGAAGCAGGTGCTGTTGCTGGGCCTGTGAATTGAGAGAGAGGGAGGGAAGAGAGAGGGAGGGTAGAGAGAGGGAGGGAAGGGGGGAGGGGAGAAAAGAGGAAGGAGGAAAGAAAATATTAACTTTAACTGGAAGGTTGTGAATTATATATTTTCAGTATCCTACTAAGGGTGTAAAGAGGAAATATGTCCTGCTAACTGGCATGCTACATTAGATTTTGGCAACAGTATGGGAGAGTAATAGTTGAAGAAAAAAATCCAATTCAAGGAAAGAACTGGAGGTTGGAACTGGGAAGGAAATTGGGGGATTCACACAGTCAGGTGGTGAGGGAAGTGTGAGGGGGAGAACAAACAGTCAGAAAGGGAGAGAAGAGTCTCAGTTTAGTTACCTTGAGTGGAGGGGCAACATCAGAGATGATTTTGTAAAGAACTAGAAAAAGTAAAAGAATGCAACGATTTAATGAATGTCAAACATCAGGATTGGCCAAATACCGTCTGGTAGCCTTGAGCTGTGAATGAATGAGGAAAAACTAGAAGTAGTACCTCGCATACATACCCTCAGCCCCAAACATTCATCTTTCTCACCTACATTCCTTCCTTTGTATCTTATACAAGTGTAACCTTTCTTTCACAGGCTGCAGAATCTGTTTGCCTAAACTGCAAAACATGTCAGAAAATGGTGGTCCCACAGGGTCCCCAGCTATTTGACTAGAATAAAATATCTAAGCGAACCAGTGAAAGCCTAAATCTATTGCTGCCCAAGTGCTATGTTATTTACTCTTATGATTCCTAGAGACAGAGGCCCCATTGAACCTGTCCCAAGAGATCATATGCTGAATGCTGAGGTTCTTGTAGAACAGTGTAAGAAAGTGGGTAGATAGGGATAAGGACGTGGTTGAGCAAATTATCACAGTTTCCATGGGAAAAAAAAATTAAAAATATACAGTAAGAAATTGAGCTACAATAATCATTTGTCCCAGCCCATTTTGTTTACTTGCTTAACTAGAACTCCCAGAGATTGGGGCCCGTTTGAGCCATTTTCCATCTAATTTGAGGTTTCATTGGCTGTTCTACATGTGTTGTATCTGATACATTTTTGCTTATATACTCATCTATGTAACCTCTACTTATATTATTTCCAGCACCCCAGCAAACACACTCCTATCCCTTCTGTCAAAACCTAGTTCCTGAGATAATATATTCTGACCCCCATCACCAAAGTTTAATGTTAGTTGCTCCTGGAGTTTGTAAATATAGAATCTTAGAGTACACACTTTTCGTGTGTTGATTTCTTCATTTATCATTCTATCTGTGAGATTCATCCATGGAGTTGCATTTTTTGTTGCTATGTAGTATTCCATTACATGACTATACGGCATTTATTCGTTCTCCCTCTGATAGATATTTGGGGGTGTTTCCATCATTTGTCTATTATCAACAAACCCATTATGAATGTTTTTGTATATGCCTTTTGGTGGACATATGCAATCATCTGTTCTTATTTCTCCTGGGAAACCAACAAGGAATGTAAATTACTTAATTTGCTTTTGGCTACTGCACTAGAGAAAATCTTGTGAAGATGATTCTGAATTTTTTTTCTTTTCAAAATAATTGAATAAGGTGATAGTGGTACAGGTTATCGCTATTGAGCACCAAACAAGTGACTAAAATATCTCAGATCCTTTACATTCAGAAACTCATTTCTTCCTCACAACCAACCTAAAATCTATGTATTATTACTTCTGTTTTGCAGATGAGAACGCTGGATGCAAGACATTGTTTTAGGAAATGACTCTTGCCCTCCTAAGGGCGTGTGCCGGGACCATAGGCTGAGTCATTGTATCTATATGTGTGTATGTGTGTGGGTATGTAAATAAGTGCTCAGTGAATGGAGCTATTAAGGAAGACAGGGATGGAAATCGCCACTGCATAGCTGAAGCTGAAGATGGGTCTGAAGAGATGGGACAGTCTGGAGAGTGAAGAGTGTTGCATTACGGGTGGACAGGATGGCCTGGGAGGAGAGAACATAGGAAATAGGCTTTGATTTGATTGGGAGATGTGTGTATGATGGAAGGGAAATAGCACAGTGAGCAATCTATCTAGAAGAACAAATAGTGTAAGATTTAGAAGAGTTTTAAAATATCCAAGTCATGGTGGTTGAACTTTATTCTGTAGAAAAAGGAAAACTCGAATGACTTAATGAAAGTAAGATTTAGTGAAGATCAACCTGGTAGCTGTGTACAGAATAGGTTGACAGCAGGAAAAGCAATCAAAAGTTATTTTAAGAGTCCAGGAAAGAGGTCATTGGTACTTAAATATAGAAAGGTGTACCTCAGGAGAAAAGTCAAGATTAGAGATAACAGAGCCTGCTATTTTATAGTATTTTCAAGAGCATAAACATTTTCACCTATATTATCTGTGACCTGTGAGGAGGGTAGAGATGATTGACCTCATTTTATTGATGAAGAAACTGAAGACAAGAATAGTCCAAGCACACCTCCAAATAAGAAAATTATGGAATTGAGACTTAAATCCAAATCTGTTGTATCACTACCTCATTTTGCTTCTACACAAAGATAAGGATTGAGATGCACAGAATTTATCCCCATCTTATTTAAATGCAAAACACATTTAAATAAGATCACACAGCTCAGCCTGTAATCCCAGCACTTTGGGAGGTCGAGGAGAGTGGATTGCCTGAGCCTGAGGGTTCGAGACCCGCCTGGGCAGCTTGGCGAGACCTCATCTCTACAATAAATCAAAAATTAGGCAGACGTGGTAGCACATGCCTGTAGTTTCAGCTGCTTGGAAGGCTGAGGCAGAAGGATCGCCGGAGCCCAGCAGGTCGAGGCTGCAGTGGCCGGGAACGGCTATTGCACACCAGTCTGAGTGACAGAGTGAGACTCCAACTCAAAAAAAAAAAAAAAAATCACACAGTAGAGGTGGTCTGTTTTATGTGAACTTCAACCTCTACACCTATTTCTAGGTATTTAATTCCCTAAGAAAAGATGACATGACATTATATTCTTGTTTACAGAAATAAAGTGCCCTGGAAAAATATACTCTTAAAAATTTCTATAGCTTCTCTTCTTTGATTCTTCCTTAGACAGGTCGGTCTATAAAACCTTGTGGTGCCAACTACTCTTTCCAACTCAATATACATCTTTAGGAGACTATATATTGATGTATGAGAAAATCAGCCCTCAGTGGCTCATGTTAGCGGTTCTAACAGGACTAAGACTCTTCAGAAAGTCAGAGAGAAAGATTTCAAATGATAGTAGGTGATGTGCTACTTAAAAGCAGGAGAAGTATTTTTCTGCCTGTGCTTAGCCTAACACCCAGGATATGGTAGATACACAAATGTTTGCTGAATGAATTACTGTGGTTTATAAAGTCTAATGATTACACATGGGTGCACCCCAGTGTACCATAACTGTGTAGTGGAAAGAACACCAGTCAAAGAAATCGTGTTTGCAGTCTTAACTCCACATCTTCATAACAGATTAACCTAGTAAAGTACCTCATTATTTCACTGGCCTCAAAGTCTTCATCTGTTAAATGAGAAGGTGGACTAATAGATGGTGGGGCAATTTCATGCCATTTCTCACATTCCCAGACTAAGTGTGTTTTCCTAGCATCTATACTAATTATTCAATGGCAGGTAACTTTGCCTGTCTACATGTTATACTTTTTTTTTTAATGCGAGGGAGAGGATGAAAAAGGAATCACGGAGTCTTTATCTCCTTCAGTACCTCCTAGGAGACTAGGGATGAAGATGAGGATGAATTTTCTTTTCTTTTCTTTTCTTTTTTTTTTTTTGAGTTGGAGTCTCACTCTGTCACCCAGACTCGAGTGCAGTGGCCGCTCCTGGCCACCGCAGCCTCGACCTGCTGGGCTCCGGCGATCCTTCCGCCTCAACCTTCCAAGTAGCCGGAATTACAGGCACACACTACCATGCCCGGCTGACTGTTTGATTTATTGTAGAGATGAGGTCTCGCCAAGTTGCCCAGGCAGGTCTCGAACTCGCGGGCTCCGGCAATCCACTCACCTCAGCCTCCCAAAGGTGTGGGATTACAGGCTGAGCCACCAAGCCCGGCGAGGATGAATTTTCAAATGACTTTAGTGGACATATCTTTTTTCTCTTTTTTTTCAGAGTAGTTTGCAACGCTGCATGGGTTAATTCCCAGACAAGTCCGGTTTAAAAACTCAACTTATTATAAAATATGCTTGTTCTTTTATCTATGTATGCATTTGTAAGTGTGTGGTAAACAAATCTTTCACTCCTTAAACATGACCTTAAATGTGGCATACTTTTTCTATTCAGCTAGACAAATCTTCTAAAATATATGGCAAGAGGGCTTTTTTAGTTTTTTGTTTTGTTTTTGGTCTTTCAAAGGACAAACATTCACATATGTCTGTACATTTACACAAGGTGGAATAAGAATGCACCCCTACTCGTTGAAAAGGGAGGTGCATTGAATTTTTAAACCATGGGAACTACAGGTTAAACAGTCTTTACAGTACTTAGCATTTAAATCAGCACTGAACAAATGTTGTTGGGGGGCAGGCTTTTGAAGTAAGTTATTGGTTATCATATGAGATAAAGTTTAGTTAACTATCAGATTCCAGCATACACAAATGTCGTTTTCCTACCACTCTTTATTGTACACTGCCATCATATTTTTAAGACAGCATTGTCCAGCACTGTTGGAACAGGTCTTTTCTGGGTTTTGGTGGTGTTGTGATTATCCCCATATTCCACAGAATACTTGACCACGGGGCTGAGTATCTACCCTGTTGCGCTCTTGACTGGACTGGCTCACACCCTTTTATGACCTTTCCATTTATTAAGGTTGCTTAGAAACTTTAGTTTTTCTCACATTATTTTCCCCAGCTTTGTTCTATTACTTGATTCCCTAAATTTAAAGACTCACCACTTAACTGGCCACCCGCTTAACTGTATGCATTGTTCTGTCTTGTGCATATCTATCTATCCATCTACCTATATCAACATACCGAATATCTTCTTGAAACATTTTGCAAAGCTAGTGCTATGCTAAGTAAACACACACACACACACACACACACACACACACACACACACACACACATGCATTTATCCCGGCACCCGCTTGTCCAATATAGAAATTCAATTAGTGTGTGTGTGGGGTGGGGGAGAGAGAAGGAACTGGGACAAGCTACATCCCAAAATCATTGCAGGAATTTGCATCTAGAAAAAGCCCCTCCACCTGCTTTGAAGAAGCACCCGTTAAGGTGTGTGCCTGTGTGTGCCTTTCCCAAGCCTTCTGGATCGTGATGCAGGAGGGAAGATTTTGCATTGCAAAGACCAATTTTTTAAACATGCAATGCAGGTAGTTCATCGCCCAGAGCTTTGCTCGTGCTGGGGGACGCGAGGGAGGAGAGAGGCAGGAGCGCCGGCAGCCAGCTGGGGGCTGACCTGATTCCCTAGAATCCTCGCTCCCTTCCTCTTTTCTCCCGACGTCCTTCCTTCCCTTTTTCTTCTCTCCCCCCTCCCCCGCTCTCCCTTCCTCAGATAAGCGGCTACGGGAAACAAAGAATCCAGGCTCTCCAGCTTAAACCCAGCATCCCGCGAGCGGCATCTTGTTTCGGGGACCAGAGCTACCCGGCTCTCCATCCCCTC